GACACGTGCAGGTACCAGTAGTGCGTTTCAGTTCCCCGGAAAAAATTCAGAGAAAATTAGGGACAGCCTGTAGGCGCACTGTGGAGCCGTATTCGGACCCCGAAACAAGTAAGGACCCCTCACCCTATTCCCTATCACGGTATTAAAGTTCAATAAATGATAAAACGGTATTTCAAGAATCAACAGATGTGTGAAATTGTTTAAGGTCGCTAATAGAGCCCGAGTCTGGTGTGTTTGTCGGTTAGCTATTGTTTGGCCTATTTTACGGTTTTAAATGCAGTATGAGGTCTGATGTTTTCATTTCATAGTTTCGTGTGCATATATTACTGTTTTATTGATTATGGGTTGAATGACTGAGAACCCGATGTTGTATGTTGTCTTGTTTGGCATAAATTACTGGTTTGCTTGTTTGTATGTGAATTGATGATGCTGACTGAGGAAAAGGGGAATGAAAGATTATGTAAATTGATAATTGTATAATGTGGTCAGCCTGACTAGATATCCTGGGAGATGGTAGATGGACCGGGTCCGTAGGAAACCCTACCGGGATTGTGGTCTCTCATACCGGACGGGATATGGAGACCTTATGTGTTTTGGCGCCCATACCGGACGGGGTATGAGGACGGCCCGTTTCACTCTCATACCGGACGGGGTATTGAGGTTTATAGTTTTGACACCCATACCGGACGGGGTATGGGGACGGCCCTGAAATCTGATTACAAGTGTTAAGAGTTCACGGGTAGCGGGACCCCTATGGATCCCCATGGATACTAGTAGGCTGGTAAATGAGGAAAAATATGTTGTGTAATGATTGAATTGCAAAAGGTGTGATAAGTATTATGTTATACAGTTCATATGATTTCATGATGATGATAATGTTATTGCTTTCGTATATTGTTTTATAAATTTCACCGAGATAAGTGGATAGTAAATAATTTTATTATTGATAAAAGAATTTGTTGTAAATTATGCTCCATTGGTCTTTTTGTATTTTCTACCCACCTTTACCTCCGTGACGGTGAGATAGTGTGATGTCTTTACTGGGCTGGTGTAGCTCATTCCTTATTTAATCATTTCAGATCAGGAAGACA